GTAGAACAATAAGACAAAGCAGATATAGTTAGTGAGAAAGATGAATATTCGATATAAAATGGCAAATATTCACTCATTCACATTCATTCATTCATTCCTTCATTAATCATGATACTTCATTAGATGTGTGAGTGTGTGTGTGTGAGGGTGGATCTTTGTCTGTGTGAGTCCGTGATTATGTGTGTAGATGTGCGTGCAACACACACACACGCTTGCAAGCAAGTGTAAATAACTACAGGGTAATCAAAACAACACACACACTCTCTCTCACCTTCACTATTTCTCCTGATTGAAGACCAACCTAATTTCAATAAATATTGGTAATAATAGTAGTAGTATGATATATGTTGTATGCTATGATGAAGGCAATGTGAATAATGATTACACTGTGATCACTGAGTTCAGCTGTTGAAGGCACAATAAACATACACAAAAGACACCACCTACAAACATGCAAACAATAATATATGCACACATACACACATATCGCACCTTTGATTTCCATTTAAACCACCAATCACAGTTATGATATGATATGATAAAGCAGGATGCATGCCACCTACGCACGACACATCCGCATAAACACTTACGCACAAATAGATCGATTACAAAAAAGTAGCTGGTAGTAATCCTTACTGTCCCCATTCAAGACTATATTTATTGGTTAGTCTTTATGCATGTATGTGTGTGTGTGTGCTAGACACAATTGTGGATAGACACACATTTATAATTTAGTTAATTCGTTTACAAACACACACACACACGAAAAAAACGGGAATAAATAAGCTGCTTCACCAGCGTAGTGCTTGCTGTACAAGAACAAAACCAGTAACAACAACAACAACTACAAGGTTGACAAGACTGTTGGCAAAAGGTTGATTTAATGTAAGCAATATTAACACCTTCACACGCGCACACACATACACACACAAGAACTGTTAGTGTATATGTTGGTGTGTGTGCACAAATATGTATACACCCCAAGTGAAAACTGAATTTATATATAGCGCTTTTGTTGTTCTAGATCTACACAACGGGAATGAGAGGTGGGGTAATAATAACAACTACTGTCAGATCTGTGTTGTTATGACTTCTATATATCATCATGATTATTTATTCCCTGCTGTTGTTTATTATATACAATATTCGTTCACATTCTTACTAGAATCTCGCTCGACTGAAGGCAGTAAGAACCACATCATATATTGGAAACCAGAGAGAGGGAGAGAGAAGCAGAAACAGAGGAGGGGGATAGAGGGATTATTGATTAGAAAGCACATATATATGTGTAAATGGTAAAAACATAACCAAACACATATGATGTTTATTCACAATCAGTGTGTAGAAATTGACAGGTAAAATTGTAGCTCACTAACTAACTAACTAACCAGATGACTGCTGCTACCTATCACTAAAACATCTGTAGGTAATCTAATCACACAGACAAGTAAGATAGAAACACAAAGAGGTGAATAAAATATGTAAAAAAACAACGAGCTGAATTCAAATCTACACTGAGATTATGAAATAGAAGAAAATAAAACAAGAAATAAAGAAGAACTTATTCAAAACACTACATGGGATGGAATTCAATGATCTCCCGAATTCTAACTTTATCATCCCGTGATACAGAGAGCTGCCCTGACCAAAGCCTCCGATGAGTATCCACCACCGGTCCCAATTTCTCTCTACAGCTTCAAGAAAATCCATCCAAAAAGCCATCATAGTGAGCTAAATGGTCAACGGAGCTCGGGTCTCGTAACCTGAAGGTGCCGGGATCGACCCCTGGCGCAGTACTGAAGAGTCTCAGAATGGGACGAAACCGCCAACTCCAGTGTTCCCTACTGGTTTTCAAATGATCTTTATAACTGATGTTGGTTAATGATGAGAATCTGATAGTTGTAATCAATTCAAATTCCTCATTTCAGAGAATTTTAACGAAGGTATTCGATACGAGAAATTAGGGGAGAACTTGAGAAGTGAAACTGACCTCCTACACAAAGATGACCAAGATGATATGCATACCAGATAGACATTTCAGTTTTATTATTGTAAACACAAAATCAAGTACAGCACATGTAATGATTATGCGTCATTCTTATTACTATTACATAACCTAGAAGTAAGACCAGTCATTCTATAAACCAAAATGACAACTCATTTGGAGTTGAAGCACTCGGTTTTTGGTTTGACTGACTGAATGTCAACAAAGAACAGCACAGATGTGAACCAGTTCCTGTTGCCCCATCCCATATGTATCACACAAAGGAAGGGACTTAGAACGGAAAAAACGAGATTCGAAAGAATAATAATAAACAGAGATGTGAGGGAGAAAGAATAATAACTTAGAAAAACAATAGAGTTTCAATGCATATCAAAGATTACAAGGAGCGAATTCATATGGACTATTTGTCTCCAATCATTGGTTTTTACAATCACACCTATGCCAGGGTTGGCGTAAGTTGGCAAATTCCACACAAGTCTTTTGTGTCCGTGCTGTGATTTTGTTAGCAGCAATCAGTTCGTTGTGGAGCTGATGCAAGTTCTCAAACAACTGAAGTGGTCAACACACTCTACCACTGCCCATCTTCAGGTTAGGAGTCGATGTAGTCCAGTCCAGTCCAGTCCTGTAAAACAACCTTACATTTGACGCCATCAAACTGCATGCTAAACATTCGAAGATTGGTATTCAACGCTTTCAGAAAACTGCATTTTGTCAGCGTCTTCACCCAGAAGGACTATATCATTCGCATATTCTAAGTCGACGAGATTACACCCTGGTAACAAGTCAACCGTCGAGTCACTGAAGTCAGGTAGGGTCGATTCCGTTAGTACATCTACGATGAAATTAAACAGAAATGAGGACAGGGGGCATCTCTCCCTGATGGACACAAAATGTTGTCACCACTTCAGATAGCAACTCTCCGTCGGCGCTTTCTTACGTGGCTGCACGAGTTCGAGTAGAATGCCTTGATTTCTGCAATGTATTTTCTCAGCATTCCCTTCACGACTAAACATTGCCATAGTACCCCTCGGTCGACGGAGTCGAATTCCGCTTTGAAGTTAAGATATCCGGTAATTTTTAGACTCCGGTAAATATGCCTATGATCCAGAATCCGTCGAAGCGTGAAGATATGATCAATACACCATCTACGTGACCCATAGCCTGGCTGATTTTCTCGTGTCTGTTTCTCCCGAGCATCACTTAATCTATGCATGATTACTGAGCCTAGAACTTCAGATACCATATTAGTCAAGCTAATTGCCTTGAGATTACCTCAGGAAAACTTCTCTCTTCTTGCATGCTAGGGTGATCAATGACTTACACCAGTACGATGGGACTATTTCAGATCTCCAGACATCACCTTATACCTTAATTAACTAAGACCGCAATATGTCACCACCGTCCTTAAACCCTTTCGGTCTATAAGTTATGGCTTCGATATGGTTGATATGATTGGTATACAACTATTCATGTGAATCAATCAGTAGTGTATAGTTTTATACAAAAATGCTTGCTCCCTTGGTTACTATTTATGATATCAAGCAGACCATAATATTTTGTAATGTGAATAACTTCGTTTCCATAGGAAACCATACTGAAATTTCACCTTCTCGAATTGTGTACACATTGCAAATTGCTATCAACTGATTAGCAAATTGTGAACTGTTTTTTTTTCTATTCCTTCACGTTCCCCACTGGAACATAGGGCTTTAAGCTAGAGGCTTGAAGTTTCTGTAGCAGTGTTTACTATAACAGGACAGGGTTGCTAGACTCATGCCCAACCTTTCCTCTTTGCTAGTTCTACTGTGGTAAGAGCTGTCTGTTAGCCAAATTGGTAGACGGTAATTTACGTCAGTGTTTATGTCCCAAATATTGGTCATGAGAAAAATAAGAACTAAAACTGACTCAACAGCAATCGCAGCAGACTTTGCGTAGGCGGATACAATTAGCAGATAGATGATCTGACATTCAAGAAACAGCCACAAAGAGATGAAAGATTAACTTTCAGTGAGAAACAACCACCAATCAGAAGACTGTTTTTCTGCTAACAATAATCTATAATAATGTACATGAAAATCTATAAATATGTGTCGATTTCCTTAATAAATGATCTGCTACCTGGGCCTTGTCTTCTGTTGTTACAATATTACTGACTTAGCGAGGTAAAGGAGTGCCGTCGGACGGGGATCGAACCCCGGACCATGTGCAAGGTCGGAGAGCGTCCTAACCATTGTGCCACCGATGCACTTGTGAACTAGTTTAGTACACTCAATTTTATACAACCTGTGCGTCGGTAGCACAGCGGTTAGGATTCCCGCCGACCATGCACATGGCCCGGGGTTCGATCTCCTGCCGACGCACACCTGATATCTATGGTCGGCCTGCGAATTTGGGCTACCGATAGCACATGCTGAAAATTCCATACTTGTACCAAAAATACTATGTGGTTTCAAGCTATAATCAAAAGATTCCATTTAAAGGGTCACAAGATCATCAGTAATTCAGGCGTAGAATGCCCGCCAGCCATGCCTTACGTGGTCTGAGTTCGATTACCGACCACGAACACACTCCTCCGAAAACACCTCACACAGCCATTACTACACCCGGTAAAGAAGGAAGGTTAGGTGTTAGACCTGGCAACACCAACGGAGGTTCGTTTCTCTCGTTTTAGGGGTTGGCTGAGGGAGAACCTTGTCGGCAGTGTGTATACTCACCCGCTTGGACTCAAACTCAGCTACTCAGAGAGCCAATCCCGTTGTTCAAACCGCCACCAAATAGCTAGCCAGAAATCGGGTAGTTTGAACTGAGACTGAGTGAAGTCAAACCGGCTACACCGCCAAAATACGAGCGAAGTGGCCTCTCGGTCTTTAAGATCATTTCGATCTGGCTAGCACGTGTCGGATATATATTTCAATCGGAACAGAACGCAAAGGAATGAATGAAAAACACAACATCAAGGGAACAAAAAATCCCCAAAAACAAAAGACTTACTCACCTACATATACGTAATCAAATTTATTTGGTCACCTCCCTTATCCATTCCGCATCATTCCTTTTGCGCTAAACATTCGTTATTTTTGTATTGTAACTTTGAGTACACTCGCGTCTGTCTCACGGTAATCATAACACCAAAAGAAAGTGAATACAATTCAGTGAGGGAGAGAGAGAGAGAAAAAGTTTAAATTATGAATAAACAATACAATACCATGGTATGTGAATGCATCCTATTTACCAATAATAGTAAATTTTATTTAGAAAAACACGTGTAGAACACCATGATAATTGACTCGGTTTTAAAATTAGCATCAAAGAAAAGAAAGAAAGTTTGAGAAAATTACAAAGCACAAAACAAAAAAAATATTAAAAATAAACACAAAAGGAGATAGTCAAAGACGGCTAAAGGTGGGGGAGGGAGGTGAGAAGATAAGAATCCACACACTGTTTACAATAATGAATAAATTCGTTCATCAATCCATTGAAAATTCTGTCACCAGCGGGCATATATAGATAGAGATGGATGAGTGGGTGGATAGACGGAAAACAAAAATAAAGAAATGGACTACCTTACCTCCCGCCACCCCTAACGATGCTCCTACACAATACATATAAATATATATTATAAAAAATCACAATGATTATAAAAAGAAGCCAGAAGACACCGTAGTGCAGCAGAATAAAGAGCAATAGTCTTGGTAATAGTTGGGGGGGGGTATACAACCGCGTTAATTCAACAACTCATCAACTGTTCCCACCCCCCTCCTTTAAAAAAAAACGATGAAAGTACCGTTAAAAAAACAATATTAGAAGGAGAGAAAAGAAGTTATACGAGTGCTCAAAAAAAATATTAAATATATAAACAATTATTTAGAAATAGAAAAGCAATACTTATACAAGTAGTTTAATAAAGCATGATAAAAGCAAAATATACACTTTGTCATTTTATGCTTAGCCGATTTACAACAACACAAAACACATGCATGAAATATATGAATGTTAGTAGAAGAAGCGTTTAGTTGTTGTATATATTTATATGCTGTGATGAGTAATTCTCTTGATTTGTAAGCCTACATACATACACACACACACACACACAAAGAACAAGTGAGTATTCTCATTCCATCCTTCTCCCTACAGAGAAGGCGAAACAGTGGGATGGAGTGGTCCGGCGAGAGGGTTGGGCGAATATGAATTAATATAAATGCATATTGTGTTACTTTCATAAACATTATCGTCATCAAGATAAACAAGTTGAATACAATAGAAGGAAATAAATAAATAAATACATTTAAGAAGAACTCAAAATAAAAACTGTTCTCAAATTACTCTTACAGGGCCTTCTTGGATGATCGTGTAACGTCGTCCACCACCTACCTGAACCGTATAGCCCAATTTATAGTTATAGTAGGCGATAGAGAGATAGACAGGTAAGTATGTATGTATGTAAGAAAGAGAGCAGATAGACACACAAACACACATACAATCCATAGGGCTGTTGTTTGATACTATACAATGTGGCAGTGATCGTCTGGAATATAAAGATGATATACACAATACAAGAAAGGACTGATGATACTTGTCTTGACGATGTGATGAATAACATCGGGTACGGCTGGAGAATACGCTGAAGAACTCAATCGACGGCGCGCTCTCACATACATGAAAGCGAACAATGTTAGTTATAAATAGTTGTCTATGTTGCAAATATGTATATGTATGTGTATACGTTGAGCGAATTTACAGATGAAACAGTTGTAGAAATAATAATAAGTATTATATTAAGAGTAATAAGTAATAAAAACAGGTTGTATCAATGAAACGAAATGTCGGTGAGATCTTGTTGTTGTTTTCATTATTATTATTATTATTATAAGTAGTAGTAGTAGTATATTTATGTCTACTGATATGATATTATTTTCTTTTCAATGCCAATAAAAGTAAATTACAATAATCCTAGCCCAGAATTTGTCGGCACAACATTCTGCGCATTTGTATTCATTAGTCCAGCATTCATTTGAAGTGAAGAATTTGTACCCGGATTGGTTAACCAGCTCGGTTGGCCAGCATAACTAACCGGGGGCGATGAAATGTCTGGTGGTGCAGTCACTCCAGACGGTGCACCTCTTGACGCCCAACCACTTGTAGTTGTTGTTGTATCTTGTTGATTGAACATAAACGGTTGAACTGGATGACTTGATTGTACTGTCCGGGTTAACAGAGGGACAGAACCAGGATTCGACGTGATATTCGCTGGGAGGACGTTCGGTTGAACGCCAGCCGCTCTTCTAGCGACAACAAGACCTGATCGATTCGCTGGTACAATACTCAGATCATTGAGATCTTTATTCCCCCCACCACAACAACCACGTCGACGGAATACACGAGCGAAAAATCGTTGCCATGATACTAAGGTTTTACCACTCCATATCCATATACCACTTGTTATGCCGACAATCAATGTCATCAGATATTTAATCATAAATAATTCAAATTCAGGTTTTTCTAATGCAGACATCTTGGCAAAAATATTTTCACTAACAAATCCATCAGAATTATCTGATGAACGAGACGCGGCACTGCCAGCTTCAACTAATCGTCTAAAGTGTCCAGGACATATTGAATCCGCAAGTAGATTTGGATCAACTTTACGACAGACTTCAGTTGTATACCAGGTCAGCATCCATTTCTCTGACATTCTTGACTCGTGCAGATAACAGGCAATGACAACTAGCGCTGGTACAATATACAACAAACTGAATACACCAATACGCATGATTAACTTTTCTAAATCATCCGTCTTTGAACCACCCGTTTTAATGATTGTACGAATTTTGAATAAGGAGACAAATCCAGCGAATAGGAAACATGTTCCAATTAAAAGATACAAACAAAGCGGAGCGATTAAAAATGCTCTCAGGATAACTGGATCTGTCAACCCGGTGAAACAGACACCAGACAATGGATCACCGTCAACTTTGCCCAGTGCTAATATACCGATTGTCTTTGCAGCAGGTATTGCCCAAGCAGCAAAGTGTAAGTATTGAGCATTGCGTGAGATAGCTTCATGTGCCCAATGACATTTTGCGGCTAAATACCAGGTAATTGTCAGTACAACCCACCATATTGAACTAGCCATAGAGAAGAAATAGAGTAACATGAATAGGATAATGCATCCTTCAAATTTTGTTCCCTGGGTAATTAATCGTGGCATTTCAATTTGCCCACTAAGCGATTGTGGTGCCGGAAATGGACCTGAGCAAGCAACCTGAGTTGGGAGTAAAGAAGAAAAATAGACAAGGAAAAATAAACACGGTATCAAGGAAATAATACGTGAATCATCAGAAACTATTATTTAAATTAACAAAATTGTATCCTGTGAGAAAACCTGGCTTAATTTACTAGCTCGCTAGTTTTTTAGCCGGTTCCAAGCCCGGGGTAAAGAGGGAGGGTTGGGTGTGGGGCCAACGATCCTATCCCCACAAAACCAATCAAACAAACAATTAATCAGTGACAAGGCTGCCTATTATCACCTGCGATGATATTCTTAATTGTGGTGGACTGACTGGATTATGTGCCAGACTGTGCGTTGGGAGCGAGGAGACAGGAATACGCTGGACCACCGATGAGAAGACTGTAGAAGATCTGGATTTCGCGTGTGGATGATATATGTCTAGTATCACATAGACTCGAAGACTGGCTGCAGAAGCAGCGGAGACAGGACTCTAAGTGAACATAGAGAAGACGGAGGTGATGATGAAAACCAACGAACCGCAACAACAACAACAACCAGAACCAATCGTCATCAACGGGAGAGACTTAACAGAGGTTACTTTCTTCACTTATCTAGGAAGCACGGTTTTAACCACAGGCGGAACGGATGAAGATGTCAAATCCAGCCAGAATCGAGAAAGCAAGATACACCTTCAATAACTTGAAACCAGTTTGGAAATCTTCTGCACCCCACCTCAGCGTAAAGAACAAGATTCGGATATTCGACCCAAATGTGAAGTCAGTCAATTCTTCGATAGGGATCAGAAACTTGGTGGGTGAGTCATGAAAAACATTTCCAACAAGTTACATACTTTTATCAACAACTGACTCCTTCACTGGTTCCATACTGAAGACCAAATGACCGGCAGGCCAGAAAGAATAGTATGGAGAAATTCTGGCAACAATTCAACCAAGAGCCGATTGTCACCCTCAGACCCACGTCCAACCGAAATCGTTTCCAAACTGTTGCATAAACTCCAAAGCACATGGGAAAAAATATTTAAAAAATAAACTTATTCTTAGCTGAAATCAAAAAGATGAAATGATGCGGACTAGTGAAAGCCTTTGGGGAATTGCAAGCCAGTCGATGTGTCTTCTTTCAATGAGAGTAAAAATAGGTATGGAGACATGGGATGTCCACATGATTAGAAGAAATCTATTGATCTCGGGGGAGTATCATCGGCATCATCATCAAGATGCTCCATCCCGCCTGCCACAGGAACTGTCCCATCTCCGCAGATAAAAGTGGTATGCAACCTACAAGATGGTTGTGGATTTGTGAGACTTTTCGTGAAAGTGGTCATGACCCTCTGAGATGGACTGGTGATGTACTATCTGAGAAGCGGATCGTAAGTTTTTACCTGACAATGGGGGGATGAGATTACACCAACCACCGAGGCAGAGTTAACAGGATGCCTTGTATCAGGTGGCCGCTTCCATGGCATACACATCCTAAGATATTCTTTACTCGGTTGGGATACCGATTCGGCAGGGAGGAAGTACAATACCTCCAGCTTCATCTGACGCCTGGTTAGAAAATCAACGTGAAGCACCAGAAATAATAAGGAATTTTCAGAAGCCTGATACTCAGGTGAGTCTGCAATCAACAGTCATATTTGTCAGACAACAAAGAGCAAGTAAGATGGATAAAAAGTCAACGATCAGGTGAATGGTCGTCAATACCAATACAAATGAACAAGAGTACAAGAAAAGCCCCAAAAACAACCCATTAGTGGAGGTTGACTAACTGAATTTCGACAAAAGAACTTTGCACAAAAGCGGAGCAGTTAAAGTCACCACACTCAATATAGCACAAAAAGGTAGAGAAAAACAACATGTAAAGGTACTATAGATAATGAAAGCAAATAAACACGATAGAACAGTTAAAAGAAAAAACATGAGAACTTAATGGACGTGGGAGACTAGCAAAGAGTGAATGTATCTGTACCACTGAGAACGATCTTGAGACATATCGCCAACAATCTGAAGTTATTGGAACTTAGCGCATAAGGACTCCAACCAGGTAGTCTAAGTGGCTGCCTCAAACAAACTGTTAAAACTTTATGAATTGATTCTAGGACTTGATTTAGCCACCCGTAAACTCTCTTCCAAATTAATCCTATGTTATTCCAATGTAACTGCTCCCGCAGATGCATGTAAATTTGTATATACAGTTGGAGTTAACATATGTTAGCTAAGTTTTCACCACAAGCGATGGCTCAGCATGTGTCCTGGTCATCTCAATAGATGTAGCTTCACACCTAACCTTAATATTACTCATCAAGCTATACCACTTAACACGGTAGAGATTAACAGAGGCAGTTATTATGTACATGGTGAATTTCAAAACCGTCTTCTGGATAAACTTGCAGTCATCGGAATCCACCGGACGAAGTGGGACTTATTCGTTCGAAGGAAATTTGGAGTCATTTTCCTTACCTTCGTCATTATTACATGAATGTAAAAAAACTGACAGTTCCCTCCTCCACCCCTCCCCTAAGCTACTTACTTACAAGTTAACACTATTTTTAACTGAGTAATTCGGTTTAACTCGCCAGTCGTCTTTCAAGATCATCTACAAGGTGAGGCCAAATGGTACAAATGGCGTCAAGTTTCGGCTTTTGTGTATGGCGGAGGCGCTAGCAATTCGTCAATACAACCCCGAACTCTGTATACAGAAAAAGTTTGTCCAGTCTCCTATTCTATCTTGATCGTAACCTCTTCACTTGTCGTCCCCGGAAAAAAAAATGATTTTTTCTTTTTCTTTTTTTAATTTTACTTTTAGTTTACTTTCGCTTTAATAATTAATTCACTATTATCACTCTCATATGTTCCTTTTGTACATTTTCACACCCTCTTTACACTTGTTAAATTGATACTCAAGTACCTTTATTCTCACTCAATAGCAATTTTAACCTTATCAAATTTCTATCTTTGTTCCGTTGAGTACCACGTAATTTACAACTTTTAATTTTTTACTTCTACAGCCACTTCCGAGTAATTATATCAATTGTGTAACCCCCTACTACTCAATAATAATCCACTATTCATTTTTAATTGTTCTTACGCGCTTGATTTCATTACTCAGATTTTACTAACCCAGTTTTATGAGGGTGAGTGATTACAAAAGTGAGCTCAATAACGAATGAAAATCATTTACACACAGCCACTGAAAACCAAGAGACACTAGTCTTGTAGTTTGGAGCTTTTCAACAGAAATATCCAAAAATCTACTTGCTTCTGATGAGTTGAACCATCAGTCTGCCTGTAAAACCACTGTCACGAACACTAACCAGTATCTGGTTAGCAAATGGAGAGAGGAAATATAAATTAAGAAAGCACCCGGTAACATTTGAGAATTCCTTTAGAATTGTACACATAAATTTCTTGTCAAAAGGTGTGAAATAAAGACATCTGAAACACTGGCAATCCTAGTAAGCATACTTGTCAGAATCATTCAAGGGATGACTCACTGCACCAGGTTAGTTTCAAAAATGGAAGAAAGAAGGAAATTGTAACATGTTCGCCATTGAGATTTTTGCTCATATATCTGATAAGTTCTCTAGCCACTGATCGGGATTATCTCTCGGACCACACCCAGGGAGTTATGATTTACCAACGGATGTTAACCTAATACAAATATTCTTCATCCATCCCACGGCGCCACACCTTAGGTTAACCACCACTCCGTTTCCTCTATCCAGCTCCAAGGCTAGCGAACAGCGGAGTGTATGGGGAACCCTGGGATGACATTTATAGTAGCACCTGTCCAAGTTACCAAAGCAGGTGTTTCAAGTTGACTACATTCAATGACCTCCATCGTGCCCAAACACACGTTGCAACAATAATTTGTATTTAGCTGCAAAACACAATACTTATAGATACTGATAGCCAACTATATAAGTAGCGATTTGGGTAACCTGTATGCTATCAAGCAGTAAGACAAAATCGTCTGCCTTGTCGAGGTCAAAAAGTCTTTTTCCAGGAAGTAGATCTACATCACCACCACGCACATCTTTTACAACTGACTCCAGCATGTCACCAATTGCGAAGTTAAGGAGAAATGGAGATACTGGACAACCATGTCTAGACCTACTGTTGGTTGAGGACAGTCATGATAGCTGGTAGTATGCACTCATCCTACCTGAGGTATTTTTGTATGGGGCTTTCAGGATGTTAAAAAACTCCTCCAGTACAAACCTCTCTGACAGACAGTTTCAGAGAACAGGTCTGTACAACAAATGGAAGCTAGTTCGAATATCAAGAAACACAGCGACTTCTGGCCTGCAATACGTGTGACGGTATTCTAGCAAATGATGACGGGTGAACACAATTTGTAAACAACTAGAGTGAGGACGTTCAGCCCCACGTGATTTATCCCTCAAAGTTATCTACAGGACCGAACTCCAAACGCCTACGTTTTCTCCACTTATGCATAGCCGAAGCTCTAGTTATACATGAACAGAAACCTATATTATGAATTCAAAAACGTCTTGTTAAACCCCTTTCTTTACCTTGGTCATAGTAATGTTCTTTTATTTTATTCTATTTTACCACTTGAATTCATTCCACTTCACCTTCACCGTCTTTATTGTCATCGTCACCGTATTCTTAATTTTTCAGACAACACCTGACCTACAGTTTAAAATCTTTATACCAGTTCACTTATTTATTAATCTTTAAAAGTTTTGTGATTCATCCACTTTAACTCTACCCCCTTAATAGATTATTTTAATTATCTTTATTCTTATCATATATGTAATACTGACTGAGCAATTTCTAGTGCCACTTAATTTAAAGAGACTAGCCAAATCTTAAGTCATCTTAAAGTAAATTTATTTAAAATATAATCACTGTCGTATTCTTACAAATCTAGCCATAGACCACAGTTGCATACGTTAAAATTCATATAAGAACTCTGACTATTTACTGAGGTTTCACTGTTAACTTACTAGGAGATAATATTCCGTCACGTTAAGATTGATTCTATTTCACACACACACCCACTCACACAAAAAAGTAACGCAATAAAATCGCTGTGGTTAATATTTAACAGTTATCCTAATGTTGACTTGATTTGAACTTCGAGGATGAACAATTAAGGCATATTACATAGGTACAATTTCGAGACATACTTAGAGGGTGTTTGTTTATGTCACACATTATTTATTGCTACCAACTGGAATCCAACAACTTACGAAAAAGGAAGAATTGTCACTCAACAACCCCTAGCAGTTAGGTATGAAGACCTGATGACACTACCTGGTTATCTACAATTGCAAAAGGAGTAGCGTTTAAATCCCATGACCTGGAAACCAAAATATGAATGCCCAAACTGAGTTAGCTCAACAACGATGTCAAGGCAATGAAATTGTTTTGATAAACAAGTGAAAAAAGCATAATAAACGCCAGTTTACATTACAAACTGACTGACTGGTTTTAACATAGAACTTTACACAAACGTGCACCAGCTTGAGTTGCCAACTTTCATGAAGCACACAAAAGAGGACAAAAGAGTAAAAGGCAGAGATTTTGAAGAACGCTAATACATACATGTGAGGGGGAAACAATAATAACAGAAAAACAAGAGTTTTAATGGACATATGAGATCATAAAGAGTAAGTTCTTCTCAGCCACTGAGGACGATTTTGAGCCATATCATCGACTGTATCTAACCATCGGTTCTTAGAATTGCGAAGACCCTAACAAGGCTGCCTGCCTATACCTCCCTAAGTGACTCAAACTAATTGTTATCTTAAAGGGGTCAGTAGACTGGATGAACAACATTCTGACGACCAATTATGAACATCATAATGTCATAAAATTATGAAGGCGAATGGTTCCACTAAGATTATCCAATTTTTCTAGCATACACATAGCATACATACATTAACAAGGGTAAAGACAAACAAAAAGTCGAAAAAACCACATCAGTGACGAAGACTAACGATACTGTTCAAATGCTAAAACTAGTTCATTTCCTCTAATTTGTAGACTTCAAAAAGGAACCTTTATTTGCATGAAAAGTTTGAAGAGGTAGACACTGTCACCAAATATACAATGGGTGTGGTCAATAAACCTCCACGAGAATCTGTACAAGTGTTTAGTTTATCTTATTATGAGAGAAACTCACCGAGCTTCATTTAACTGAAATTATGTAGTCACATAATAGAGACACACAACCTATAGTACAGAAATTCATTGGAACGTAACAAAATGTCACTGAAAGCTCATACTTCTTACATACCTCAGATTCAGAATTCCCGGAAGAAGTCAATATAGTGGGATGGATAACACAAACTACCGGGAACATGAAAATAACGTGCGACTCACATCTCCATTATAGTACTACCATAGTACTACTCCCAATCGGTAGCTGCTACCTTGAAGTGGTGGTCGAGCTTGCATATCTGAATGACCCAACAAACTACACTGGCAGGAACTATTGTTCCTGCAGGTCATACCCTGCCAGGAAGGTTGTAAGGATAGCAATTAGATTAAAAGCAGTTACCAGCTTGGTGTAAGAATTTATTTTACACTATGCTTGGGGATCTGTGAGCGAAGTCGTACTCCTGGAGAACAGGGATGTAACAGCAGTAAGGTTCTTCCCTCAGATGACCAGCATGCCAGCTATGCTGTCTCTCCACTCAGGAGAGAGGAGGTTAGAAAAGGTCAACCCCAACAATTGTACATCCCGACTTACCCTATGGTGTTCCGTAACCGGTGGTAAATTTACTAATACGGAACCAATCCAAGAAAACAGTTCATAAAGGCCGTATGACCGGCCTCATGCAGTTGTCGCCCCGGCTCTGTGGTCATACAGCACTAACCCTCTTTCTATTTCAGGTACCCGAAGAATCAATCAACTTCCACGGTGTGGGCAGCCGAGAAGTAACAACTGCTCACACACTTCCAAAAGTCATAATACTACTACGATAGATGACGAATATAACCCTCATTCAGTACTTTAATTTTCTACACTACACTGAGCTACACTAAAAGCAAGTAAAATAACACCTCGTTACTGGGACCGAAGTAAAGATAGATTTCCTTCTGATACAACTAGCTGAAATTTGTGTTAAAGGTAGCGACCTACACCATTAATTATCTGATCATCAAACAGCAATTTCACATGTTTATGGTCTAAACTGGCGTTATATCTGCATTGATTTTACTAAATGCCATGTTTTTTAAATCCAGCATTGAAATAAATTTAGGTAACAACTACGTAGCTGCTACGGTCATAATTAGAATACATTTTGACAAAAAAAGAACAGTAATAGGACAAGAGTAACAAATCAGTACCAAAAAATATAACAGGGGTTCATTGCATCAGGTAATTACTTTTCTGAGCTACAGTAGTCATATATGCATTTACTATTGATACAAGTTAGTATCAGGAATTAACTAAGATATGCAATTTGTGTCAAGCGGTTAACTTAAAGAGTACGGGACTAAGGGGAGATATTAGAGATTCATTATGAGCATAGCATAAAAAACTACATGAAACACAACATTAACAATAAAACCATAGATTCCAATTAACTTACTTCATTATTCAGAATAAATCCAGCGACATATGTAAGCGCTACCATAAGGTAACAAGCTGACAGGAATATAATTGGTCTCTCTGGATACTGAAAGCGAGGCATATCGATGAGAAAAGTGAGAACAGTAAACAAAGTGGACGCTGCACAGAGGCAACTCCAAAGACCAATCCATAGGCGTGAAAATCGTCTAGAAGAGGAGTCACCAAAAAGAAAGTCATCGCATGGTATCCCACAATCAGAAATAACTTGACCACTTCCCATCCTGATACGGAACTCGAAGCTCGGCGGTACCTAGTCAGTAAACTTTTTCAACGAATGAGATGCAACCTACTCTCATATGAACAGGACAAACGAACGAAGGCTCCTTGGAAACACGCTTCTCTGTTTTATTTTCCGCTATACACAAGGAATCTTCTGGGAAACGATCACAATTCATGATTTCTGGCCACTAAAGGCAATTAAAAATTATATAAAGCACAATTACTTCAAACTGAAAGCCTCGCATTAACGGTTCACAATCCTTTCTATTTTGTTCACAAAGTGAACGACAGGGTGGTAAAGGCCTTTTCATCCCTGTGCAAACAGGGAAAAATAATGAACACAGGAACAGCTTCAGCGAAGGACTGCACTTTATCCGTATCAGTGATGTGTACTGACTTATTTCCTGTGCAGCATCATCTTGTGTAGCATGTCCCATATCATTTGGGAAGATCGTTATGTTATATGGTAAATCCTGGCATGCCTTAATACGAATAGGCTCACATTTTGGTGTTTCAGCATAAGGATCTTCTAAACCTCGCTGTATATAACATTCTGAGCAAGATAAGATGTGTACGATAACAACAAAGACCCCAAACAAAAGGGACATATCGGCCTACAATGGCGCCTAAACTTTCATTTGACATACCCTCCACTTAATTAATTGTTAGTGCACCCAAACAAGTAAATGAACAAGCAAATTTAACAAAAATGATTTTCAAAAGTGAATCCTAGAAAAGGTATTTACCATTTAGTTACATACGGAAAATTATGGTACTTTACTTATCCTGTGGAAAGCATAGTATAAAAACAGATCTGGATTACTTACATTTTGTACTAATACGCAATCCATAAAAAGTTAAGAATACACAACACTTGAAAAGTATCTGTTCGGATGCTTATGATATAGAAAATACGCACCTGTGTTTATTATTACAAGCACTGAGGTTACGAATTTTCCATTATTACTTCCATGGATATTTCGTATACCATCGAAAATCTTCCTTGTTTAGCATCTACAATCGGGAAAGCAATTTTACGGGTGCGTAGTTTAATGCGGATGGTTTGCCGAGTATGTAATTCCAAATCCACCAATTTCACTGATTTCACTGAGTAAATTGTGTTCGGTTGTGATGTCTCGGTTTAATGACTGAGCTACAGTTTGAAACAGTGCAGAAACAGCTTGTTTATTAAGCTTCCATTTTGCTCGTTAGGATACTGTTATAACGAAGTACTGGTGTTTTGGTTTCTGTCTAGCTTGATCATGATGTGTCTCCAGACATGGTACTGTGGCCAAGTGATCACCTGGAAGTATTCCTCCCAATGAGTAAACACGTAAGTCGGATTTAATTGGGACAGCTAAGACAGCTCTTATTATACAGGGTATGAGTATCCTTTCCTTATCAACGGAATTATAAACCATAAGCAGTAAATCGATATCTGGTCTAACGAATCAGCCAGTGGCTTTACGGCTAACAGTGATAGTCCTAACTAACACATATCCACTTTTCAGCTCAGCTATTCTCGCTATATTAGTTCTCAAAGCAACTAATGATGTTTCTCACCTTCATCACCTTCACTAGCTTAGCTCTCCCAGTAATAGAGTTCTCCCCATTCGGATATCCTCACAAGTGTCAGCAGCCTCGCAGCTCTAGTGTGATGGTTATCACCACTGTATGGAGAGCGGTGTGGGATTTGAATGGGAAATTCAGGGACATGCAGGTAAACCCATATTCGATCAGAGGTTAATTGACCCCAAACGATAGATGTCTGTCAAAGTATTGATGTTGATCGCAGATCGTTTGTGTCAATCACAAGTGAACATTGACAAATCCTGTTCCCATGCTTATATCCAAAGCTACCTTAAGCAACACTCTGAATTTAAAGAGGTAGTATAATAATAATACATATATTTCGTATAAACGTATAAGTTTACATGAAATGCATGCCATTTTTACAGGCACGATCAATTATGTTACAGATTACAATTGTGAATTGGCATAGAATATCACTTTTTCAAAATAGAAAATATCCCCATTTAGACATTTGAGAAAACAGAAAGATTGAGCGAAGAAATATTTACTTTTCAATTAGATCCTCTTCTATGGCTCTACTCTAATATATATAGCATTTTTTACAATACACAACAATTTACCAAACACGTGGCGATACGCTTGTTAACAATAATTAAACAGTGTCAAAATGTCAATGGGTGGATAATTAAGGAAGAAAATTAATACACACTATTAAAAGGTAGAAATGGATAGAATAAATTAATTTTACAAGAATAACACGTAATTAAAGATGAAGTGGTCAAAATAAAATTAAGATAATTTGGACAATTATAATGTAATTTTACAAGAATAACACGTGATTAAAGAAGAAGTCAAAATAAAAATAAAAATAATTTGGACAATTATAATTTAATAGGGGGAGGGGGGCGACGTAGTCCTGTCTTGTAACGATGGCCACGGTAAGCAAAGTGGCTGTACAAATTTCTTCTGTACACATAGGCTTGGTTTCTTCTGGTGGATTCCAATTGCTTCAGCTGTCTGTAAAAGACGAAATCTTAGAGCAAAGTTAAGATTAGTTGGAATACGATAAATAATTTTAAATGCAGTATTCACATCGACCTTGTGCTCAGTATCAACAAGGTGTGCTAAAATAGAACTACGGATAGATTTTACTTGTCCCTTGCTTAACCACGCTGGATGATGTTCAGAAATACGACGATGAAACTGCCTAATTGTACGCCCAATGTAGCTGGCTCCGCAGCTGCAGTCAAATTGGTAGACACACATAGAAGAGGCAAATTTAGGTAGTTTGTCCTTATTTCTCGAACATAGAATAGGGGTGGTTTTGAAGAGACAACGTACTTCTGCTGCATAATAAGCTCTTTTAACCGCATTCTTTAAGCGCTGTGTTATGATTTCACTGAAGTTGTCACCGAGGAACTGCAATTTTATGAACATTGGCTTTTTTGAAACTGTAGCGATACTGACCCTCTTTGGTGCTGAATTCATATTCTTCTCAATAAATTTATCTGGATAACCATTTTTTCTAAGTAATTCTTTAATAATCTTAAGCTCCTCATTGAGGCAGTCGTCTGAACATATTAACTCAGCTCTATGAACCAAACACTTTACAAGGTTACGTTTATATTTCAAAGGTACAAAACTCAAAAAATGAGTGTACTGATCTGTTGTTGTAGGTTTCCTATACACACTCCTTCTTAGCGTGCCATGATCTTTCCTTGCCATGAAGACGTCTAGGAATGAGATACTGGTTATCCAGATAAATTTATTGAGAAGAATATGAATTCAGCACCAAAGAGGGTCAGTATCGCTACAGTTTCAAAAAAGCCAATGTTCATAAAATTGCAGTTCCTCGGTGACAACTTCAGTGAAATCATAACACAGCGCTTAAAGAATGCGGTTAAAAGAGCTTATTATGCAGCAGAAGTACGTTGTCTCTTCAAAACCACCCCTATTCTATGTTCGAGAAATAAGGACAAACTACCTAAATTTGCCTCTTCTATGTGTGTCTACCAATTTGACTGCAGCTGCGGAGCCAGCTACATTGGGCGTACAATTAGGCAGTTTCATCGTCGTATTTCTGAACATCATCCAGCGTGGTTAAGCAAGGGACAAGTAAAATCTATCCGTAGTTCTATTTTAGCACACCTTGTTGATACTGAGCACAAGGTCGATGTGAATACTGCATTTAAAATTATTTATCGTATTCCAACTAATCTTAACTTTGCTCTAAGATTTCGTCTTTTACAGACAGCTGAAGCAATTGGAATCCACCAGAAGAAACCAAGCCTATGTGTACAGAAGAAATTTGTACAGCCACTTTGCTTACCGTGGCCATCGTTACAAGACAGGACTACGTCGCCCCCCTCCCCCTATTAAATTATAATTGTCCAAATTATTTTTATTTTTATTTTGACTTCTTCTTTAATCACGTGTTATTCTTGTAAAATTACATTATAATTGTCCAAATTATCTTAATTTTATTTTGACCACTTCATCTTTAATTACGTGTTATTCTTGTAAAATTAATTTATTCTATCCATTTCTACCTTTTAATAGTGTGTATTAATTTTCTTCCTTAATTATCCACCCATTGACATTTTGACACTGTTTAATTATTGTTAACAAGCGTATCGCCACGTGTTTGGTAAATTGTTGTGTATTGTAAAAAATGCTATATATATTAGAGTAGAGCCATAGAAGAGGATCTAATTGAAAAGTAAATATTTCTTCGCTCAACTTTTTCAAAAGTTCAAATTTTTGAATAATGGTACAAGCAATCGGAACAGATTCTAATAAATGTTAATTTGTAAATCTTTCAGGAAGGTCACCATCGAAGTTGATCGACAACCCATACTTCGTCCCATTTTCTGATGATATTCAGTACATGGACGACAGCAGCAGTAGCAGTTCATCCCGTTAACTCGATTCTCATGAAACATGAATTCTCCTGTAGTTATGTCTACTCGAAGTGATGATGCCTGTAAACTGGTGTCCCTCATGTAAAAATTGAGAATATACTATTATTATTATTATTATTTATATTACCACTAAAGGTTAGTTCATTATACAGAGGACTGATGGGTCCATATGTTGGTAAACATGCTAGCGAATCACTAGTGGTGACTCGTACGGGAATGTTGAGGGTGTGGTGATCCTAGTGGGACTTTCATCAGAGATACAGCTGGGATAAGAGTTGTCTGAACGGTTTTCAAGATATTATGGTCATTTTAGAGCTAAAACACTCAAAGCGACGCCACTGTTGAATTTCTTATATATCGACTCCTACATCTATTGTGAAGCACAGTTCACCAAGCGTTGAACTGTTCACCAATTAGTAAGGAAAGTGAGTTAGTTGTAGGACATCGTGAGACGAGCCAGGTTTATCCTACTAACTGGTAAACCTATCAGTATATTTCAATGTTTTAATCACCATAATGAGCCTGTTTAATATGAGACAAACCTCAAATTCAAACAAATGAGGCCAACCAAAAGGTTTATGATGCAAATCTACCACTTAACGATTTACATCCTTATTTGCAGCGAAACATTACGTATCCGGAAAAATGGCTGAGGAAGCTTACACATTTTTTTAGGTGTCTGAATTACGCAAAAATGATTGACTGGATGCATTAGGCCTGGTGTTACGCCGGAGTTCTGGTCATAAACTGTGCCCCAAATGTCGACGTGTAAGGTTATGGAATATCTGAAAGCGACATGAGCAGTATGAGGGATGCTAAATCCCTCAGGGAGACTTAGTTTTCTTCAAGGTATAAAATATTCCCATTCCATGTGATTAAGAACATATGAGTTAGGGGAAAGACCTCTTTTCTTGACTTCTTTTCTAAGCTGTGGAGTTACTAATGGTCTTATATATTCAGTGTTAACTGAAACCAAAGGTGAGAGTCTACTGTTAGTTGCTAACGAGATAAGGCAAAGTACGATAGAAGTAACAGCGTACAAATGGGAATGAATAATCTAAAGTGATGTAGGGAGTTGGCAGCTGGTTAGTTACGTAGTGGATACTCATGGGATAATAAGTGATGAGAAGAAACAAATTGGAGATGATTCACAAAAATCTAAAAAAGAGTTTGTGAAGCAACAATTCGGTAGTAAAAATTAACACTACT